GATCCACGTACTAGCACGCTTACTGCTAGGACCTTTCGCACGCTTATAGCGATCATCACGCATTTTGACCTCGAGACCTTTTAGATAGATACTGTTAACGCTTTCCTGAATAGCGATCTTAAAGAAGAAGTGTACTATTAGTACCTACTAGGTTTAGGACGAAAAACTAAGGTCCTTCGCCTATATAAGGTAGTATATAGTCTTCGAATCGCTAGTAAACGATAGGAAGACGACGTAAAAGAGATACTTCTCTCACTAGGCTTCAAATCTTATCCTAAAGATCCTACACTTTACACCGATAATTACATAGTTATTATAGTGTTTATTAACGACTTCCTAGCTACCTACCACCGAAGTGAGAGCTTACACGCTTACTAAATAAAGTAACTTCTCTTATAACGCTTTAAGATGAAGGACTATGGCGAACTCACATAATTCATCGGTATTCGAATCATCAGAAACCGATAATAGCGAAAGACCTAGCTAAACTAATTAGCTTACATTAAAAAGATCGCTACTAAATTTAACCTCCTAGGCAGGAAACCGCCTAATACACCACTAGTCAGTAATCAACGTCTTGATCCGATCACTAGTCAAATTAACTAATTAACCGTTAAACTATACTAGTAGAAGTGTGGTTCGACCCTTTTCCCTACTATATAGACTAGACTAGACACCGCTTTTGCTAATTAGCTACTAGCTAAATCTCTCACACGCTACGATAAGAAGTACCTAGCTACTATTAACTACCTAATTTCCTACCTATACGGGACGAAAGACCTAGCTATCTATTTTAGTGGTAGCTAATTAGATTACTAGATCTTCACTACTTCGTCCGATGCGAGTTTCGCCGATAATCCTGATAAAAAGTCATTAGAAGGTTTTATCTTCTCTTTATTCGGTGGTCTAATCGAGTAGAAATCTCGTAGGCAGAAGACGATCACTATATCCACCACAGAAGCTAAATTACTAGCTATCTCACACGTAGCTAAGCAGCTATACTAGGCTAAACGCCTATTCGAATTCATCGAATTCAACACTGAATAGCAAGAAGTGTTAAATTGCGATAATAAGCAAACCGTTGACCTATTAAATCGCGAGAAATTAGTCTTTTAGACCAAACTTCGTCACGTAGATATTAACCGCCTATAGATTCGTTAAGAGGTGTAGGCAAAGCGCCTATCTGTCTAATAGGTCAAAACCACCGACATGCCCGTAGACGGTCTTACTAAGTGCTTACCTAGGCAGAAGTATGTCGAATTTATTAAATAACTAGGTATAGAGATACTACCTCCTAGCTAGTTATTCTCTTTTCTCTTATTCAGTTCTTACTTTGCTCTTATTCTTATCATATATCGAGAACTAAGGGGGTGTGTTAATATATGGATATTATGGGGTCACATAACGAAGGACCCACTTATATAACCCCTCTCTATATATAGATCTTCTTCTATAAAGATCTAATAGATTGATCCTTAACGATCTCGTATATAATTGCCTACCTAAGCAAGAGACTCTCAACACTCTGATTCTGTTGATTTATTATGTGACCTTTTGCTATATTTCTTATGATATAAATACTGCTATGTTACCTAGTTAAATTAAATCAAGTTTATCATCCCTTTTGATCTCTCTTCTAGATCGGTGGTACTCTTCCACAATCATGGTACTTCTGCTAGTACGCACGACCGATAGACTCATAACCGTGTATTCAGATACCACATTGAGTATTTACTAATCCTTATACACACTATCGTCTTGTGTGTATAATCACGACTTTATGGTCACCGCCTAGAGTCCGACAGTTTCTTTTCCTATCGTAGCGGTTTTAGTTCTAGGCTCCTTTCGACTTTTCCTACTATATATATTATATATCTATCGTCGTAATACGCTAAGATAGTTCTTAGACTATACTCCGGGTATCGGGCGTATCCTTTATATATATAACGCTATTCGTTATATAGGTATTATCCTATAGTTAGCCGTTTATTAGTAACGTCCCGAACCTTATCGAGTACTTTAATAAGTATAGCTAGCGATTTAACCGGTAGGTTACTATCCGTAATAATCTCTCGGATCTATTACTCTACTTCTTATTATCTGTTTTTATAGGGTTCTCGCTAAGGCTATATAGTAGTATCCGTTCCTAGGAGCTAGGGTAGAGTCTCTAGGATCTCCGGGGTTCCTAGCGTCTCGATTAGTGTCTTCAGGATCCCTACGCCCTACTCCTAGGAGTCGTTAGATAGTTCCTAGAAGTCGGTAGTGTTCTAGGGACTATACTAGGTCTATCCTTAACTCTTAATATTTTCCTAATTAATCTCGGGAAATTCCGTCGCGTACTCTACGCTATTTAGGCCGCGGTATTTAATATCGTTTACGAAGGTATCTAGGGTTTTACCTTTCGTGATTAACTATAGGTATTCTACCCGTTCGTCGTAGGCGTATTTAATTTCTTTAGGGCTTAAGGTTGTCCACTTAGCTAATAATTCTTCTAGCGTTTCTTACTTAACCTTAGGTTCTTTCCTAACTAATAGCTTCTCGGTAGCCTATTTAGTAACCTAGTCCTTTAGGTATTCGTACCTACCTAGAGTAGCCCTAGTAATAGCTTCCTTTAGGCGCTCTACCCTATCGTAGGTAGCCCTAAGTTATTAGGGTTGTATCTCGTCTTAAGTTACCCGTAGCTATTATAGCTTTACGTTATTATGTCTATTATTACGCTTACGCGCCTATAGCTTTATATTATTACGCCGATTATAGTACTCACGCGCCCGATATCCTACTTTTCTATATTTAAAGTATAAGTTATTATCTTTTCGTCGTTTTTCTTCTTCGGCTAGGAGCCTCGCTACGTCGAGCTCTATTAGTCGTAGTCTATAGGGGTCGCTATCCCTACTAGGTTAGTTTAGTCGCTTATTATAGCGATAGTACGATAGTCGGCTAGTACCTCGGCGCTATCCTTTAATTTCTCTTTTTTCTATTTATTAGTTATATAGATAGTTATTAATCCGTACCGCTATATCGATAAGTTTTTCTATAGTGTCGGGTCGGTCGATCCGTGCTAGTTTATCTTTAATATATAGCTTAAGTCCGTGGTCGTAGTACGGAATTAAAGCGTAGTCTTCCTACTATAGTATTACTATAAGTTATATAAATTCGGCCGTATAGGTCGATACTAAACCGGTTTATCGAATACGCTTTAGCTTTCATTTAGCTATCTTCTTCGTATCGATATTACCGAAAGTCCGTTCTAAGTGTTATCTGTCAAGATATGTAGGATTGGTATAGACTAGTATGCATATGGACGAATGAGAACTATCGGAATCATACAGAGAAGGTTGATTGATTGAAGAAAGGAAAAGGACTCGAACGAATGGGAAAAGGGGCAGGTTGAGCTGTCCCTTGGCGGTGTAACCAGGTATTCAAGTGACCATACCGATGGTCAAGGGTTACCCGCATATTATATACAAATACATAGGAAATCTGGGATGGAAGTGACCAATCCGAGGTCACTGTAATGAATCTCTCCACTTTTCCACGACATACCCCCTCAGCGGAAATCCCTTTGGAGTTTCGCTGGACCATCAGTTCAATCTCTCCAAGAGATATCCAATGTCCTCCATGCCTAGTTGCCTCACAAATCTGGCATGCTTTTGACGAGGAAGAAGTTTGGTAAGACCGTCTGTATCCATCTCTGCAGTAGGGACCCAATCCACTGCGATCCTACCGGCTTGCACTTCTTGCCGAAGCCAATGCTGATGGATGTCGATATGTCGAAGCTTAGTGCGCAGATGAGGTGCTTCCTTAGTCAATAAGGTGATCGTCTGCTTGTTGTTATATTGAATTGAGATAGGGTGACCCGGGTTGAACATAACCCTCTGGAAAATCCGCTCCTATATACGCATGGATTTGCCAGCTTCGGAGATAGCTAGCAATTCAGCTTCGGTGGTACTCGTTGTAACGGTCTTTTGCTTCGCTGCCTTCCAATCCACCGGTCCGCCGAAGACTTTGTAAAGATATCCACCAGAGCTCTTTCGATCGTGATTATCCCCGAACGAGGCATCGCTGCAGAACTGTACACTAGGCAAATCACTAGTGCTTCTGCGAAAGCAGATGGCGCGGTCTCTAGTCTAGTACATAAAGGCGATCACCTGTGAGATCGTATGTAGGTGGTCCGGCGAAGGATTGGATAGGAATTGAGCCAGATGGGAGGTTGCCTTAGTAACGTCCGGTCTGGTGATAGTGGTGGCATACTGCGCAGATCCTACCTTGGAGGAGTACTCCAATCGGTGTTCGTTGGTGGCTATTCTATTAAAGGGCTTAAGATTGGCGATGTTAACCGGAGGAGCTTCGAGTCTTCTTTCTCCAGTTAGATAGTACTTATGCGTAATTGCTGATAGGTAGGTATCCTGACACAGCTAAATTGCACCTATTTAACGGTCTCGGAGGATGCGGATACTAAGAAACTACTAAGCTTCGCCCATTGATCGAAGTTCCCACGCCTTATTGAGCCTTTTGGAGACTTCCGCTGCCTCTTTTCTCTGCGAAGCGTGGTTAAATATGATCAAATCGTCTATATAGAAGATTATGATAATCCCCTCTCTCACGAATAGGCATATATCCTTATATACTACCTGGAAGCCTAGTGTAGTGAGGACCCTCGAGGCTTCCTGTTGCTAGAGCCTCGGTGATTTGCGAAGACCGTATAGTGCTTTGAAAAGCTTCTAACACCTTGTTCTCCGGTTTTGCGAGAACATCCTAGGAGGCAGTTCTATATACACTTCATTAGGAAGTTGGCTGTTTAAGAATGCATTGACTATATCCTATTGAGTAGTATCGAGGTTGAAGTGGGCAGCGAGGGCGAATACGAATCGAGCTGTTCGTATAGCCAGGGTTGCTGAGTACTTCTTATCCAGAGAGACCCTCTCGAGGTCCCCTCTCACGCAGATTCGGGCCTTATGTTTAGAAAGAAGTCCATCACTGTTGAACTTATAGTTGAAGACCTATTTCAACGGTAAAATCTGCACTGATTGGTCCGTTGGTTTATCAACTTCGATAAAGGCTTCCTTCTTGCGTAGGGTCTCGATTTCTAACTCCGTAGCTTTCACAAAACTCTCGCAGTGCGGATGGTTTATTATCTCTGACCAGTGCTTTGGTTCTGGTGGTAGATCGTCCCTAGAAGACACTTCTTGAGACCTAGAGGAGCCTATTGCAGTGGAAAACGCTAACAAAACGCCTTTATGAGTATCTTCTTCCTGTCCACTATGTACCACGGCTGCCATTGTAGCGAGATGGGAGGTTCTCTTGCGAGCACGCTTGCTAGTGAGGATATTGCTTTCAGAGAAATCTGCGTTGATATCTCTAGGTGCGAGGTCGCCCCTCGCCCGGTAACCTGGCGGTGGTGGTGAATTAGTATCTAAATCGTCTTCAAGTTGACACTCTAGTTCAGAGCGTAGTTGATCCTCAGGACTCATCCTTGATAAATCCACCCCCTTAGCTGGGGTCTGAACGGCTGCACCCCCTGACTCCGCCTCCCCCGGGAACGCTCCGGGGACCCCTTCAATATTCGATATAGGCCGAAATCCGCGTGTAGGCGATGGCGCCGGCGTCGGCAGTTGTGGTATATCAAGTTTCAGAGAGGAGAGGGGTACGCTTAGCGTCTCCCCTAGTCCCTGAATCTGGGGTCTTTCTGTCGTTCCTGTGTCGGTTGCCACGGGTAACGGTTCCTCGTCTTCGGAGCTTTCAGTCTCGACTTCACCTCCTATGCCCACCCCCCAAGGGTCTATCTCGGGGATTTGAGCCATTTAAATAGGCGGTAATCCTTGGCCGTTATAGCGAATAGTCTCGTCGAATACTACATCTCTCTCTTCGCGTACTACGCCGATAGTTAGGAACCAGATCTGCTAGATGTTGCTGGCTACATAACCAACCAGGTATCCCAATTAAGCCCGAGGCTCTATCTTATCCTTATGAGGGATCTTTCGCATGCGTACCTATGCGCCGCAACCGTATATACGGAGATTCGCAAGGTTTGGGCGTACTGGTGGCTTAGGATTCTTCGCTGATATTGCTTCTGACTAGGGTACCACAAGGTTGCCGTTCTGTAGTATCGTGGGTGTCCGATTCAAGATATACGCTGCTGCCCGGATTACCCAGGGCCATAGTGTTTTCGGCAAATTAGTATCCGCAAGTAACGCCCTTGCGACAAGGATGATGACACCTCCCGCTCTCTCGATGAACCCGTTCTGTTCAGGAGTGCCCGTAACGCTTCGTTCCTATATAATCCCTTCTTGCGCGATGTAATCAACGAAGGCTTGATCTAGCGCCTTCTCTCTATCGCTTTTGAAGACTCGAATATCCATACCGAATTGGTTTCTGTAGAGGGCAAGGGCTTCTCGGATAGCCTTCACACAACCGTTCTTGTTCTTATGCGTGTGGGTTATGTGAAAACGAATACCCTCGAGGTAGAGATGCGATAGCCACTTATCCCTATTAGAGGCTTCGTCTAACTAAATAAGGTCGAAGTGAATACGGCTAAACTTGCCATACACCTTCGATCTTTCTGCAGGACGACGGGAGACTTGCCTCTTTGCTTTAGTAGCGTGACAGGTAGTACACAATTCAGGATTTAATAGTGCGTTTTCCTTAGTAGCTTCCTGGATTTCAATGCTATCCACTATCTCTGCAAGCTTCTCTATACGCCTCTCGGCGATATGGCCAAATCTCCGGTGCCAGACCTCAGTCGTTGCGGTCTTACTTAGGGCTTTACCGGTAAAGGAGACCCCTTAGGTGGTAGAAGGGACTGCCGCCCTCGTATCCTCTAAGATATAGAGATCGAGGAGTCTTGTGCATCTTGCAATCTCCTTCCTACCCTTCATAACCCCTAGTAAGGCACTATTGAAGAAGAACCCTCTCTTAGCGATATCTGACACGGAAACTAGGTTAGTCTGGAAATCAGGCGTATACCAAACCTCTGGTAGAATTGCCTAGACAGATTGGCTAGTTTTCGCGGTCAAAAGGACCTTTACCCTTCTAAATCTAATAGCGGGTGCGCTGCCCTTACCTAATCCAATGAGTCGATGTGCTGGTTAGTAGGTCTCGAATCTCGTGCGGTCATTCGTGACGTTCACATTCGATCTAGAATCTAATATCTAACTATTCCTTAATAGATACGTGATGGCTACGTTTACCACTGCTGGAGAGACCGTAGCGGTATAGAAGGATATCGTCTCTATAGGGAGATCTGTATCGCCGCCGATGGCGAGATTGGCTGCGCTACTAAACTCCGAGGCTCTCTGCTTCAGTTTCTCTAAGATATCATCCCTCTCAGACTGCGGAAGCTTCTGGACCCTGTTTCGAATGGCATCTAGGGTCTCTTGCTTAACTAGGTATCTCCACTTCCTTGTGAGGATCCAATAGGTCTTTAGACCGTGACCTGCCTTCTGGCAGACTACGCAAGGCTTTCTTTTGGCCAATTGCCCTACTTGCGCTTGTGGTATATCGGCCTTTTTGCCGTTGAGAGTGGCGTTAAAAGAGACACCGCTAGATTGTGCCTTCTCTTCCGGCCGATGGGCCCTGTACTCGTTAAGGATACCCACAAAGGTGATTTCGAGCTCATGAGACCTAAGCTTGTTCTTCCAAAGGTTATAGAAGAATAGGTCGTCATCCCTAACAGAGCGTAAGAAGTCCTAAATGGGTGCCCGGTCCTTCTTGCATCGATCTGATTGATAACAGACGTCCGGTACGCCTACTTCTCGAGCCTTATAGTACAATTTTGACTAGGTTGAGAGCCATTTAGCCTGGTCTATATTGCCCTTCGGTTCGGCAATCATAGATCTCTAGGTCTCTCTTAATCTTAACCAACGGTCTTCCTCTCTAGTGGTAAATCGGCCCTTAAGAAGCTTTAATTGCTCTCGAGGACTGCTGATACCGAGTATCAGTTCATCAACGTCCCGGTCAACTCGCTGGATAATCAATTGGTTGATTTTAGCTAGCCTTTCTTTGACCTTATCCCACTGCTTTTGCTTCTTCTTATACGCCGATACCAGGTAGGTCAGATGTGCCCTCTCGTCTGCCGAGAGGTCTAGCTAATTAGCTACACTTGGCCTTACCGTTTGGATATCCGGCGGTTGAAGCCCCTTTGGGATTGTTGATATCTCTTGATCTGAGAGGTCGGGGTCTATATACTGCCAGACTTCTTGAGCCTCAGCTGCAGCTTTTATATGACCCTTCCACACTCTCCATTAATCCTTGTGGCGGAGCTTGAGATCCCACTCCGTCCCGGTTGACGATAGTTTCTTGTCTTCTATGTTGGTCTTCCCAATATAACTACACGATCCTTCCGTCTTCTCGAGGGTCTCAGGGCGATTGAACGGTGCGGCCGACGGTCAATCTTGTAGGGGTCCTCGGGGGTTCGAAGAGGCAAGCTTGAGGAAGCGAATCGACAGATACTAGAGTAATTGGAATTATTGATATCTGATTTAACCTAATCGTGCGATCGGGCTCATAACTGTTAAGATATGTAGGATTGGTATAGACTAGTATGCATATGGACGAATGAGAACTATCGGAATCATACAGAGAAGGTTGATTGATTGAAGAAAGGAAAAGGACTCGAACGAATGGGAAAAGGGGCAGGTTGAGCTGTCCCATGGCGGTGTAACTAGGTATTCAAGTGACCATACCGATGGTCAAGGGTTACCCGCATATTACATACAAATACATAGGAAATCTGGGATGGAAGTGACCAATCCGAGGTCACTGTAATGAATCTCTCCACTTTTCCACGACATTATCTAAACGTAGTGTAGCTAGTGAAGATAGCTTAGGTAGTAGTAGACTATTCGGTATTAACCTTTTCGTAGTACTCTCGGATATAGGGTTTAAGCTAATCCTATACCTACCCTCTAAGGTAGGCTAACACGAAGATAACTTTACTTCCTTCGGTAATAAGGCGTCCCTTATTAACGTCGATATAGATATCTATCTAAGTAAGGAACCCTCGTAGCTTACTTCGGGTACTATTAAAGGTCTTAGCCTTTAGAAGTTTTAGTACTCCGATAGTAGTTACTAGTATAGAAGCGACGATCTAGGTATAGAGTTATTCTATATAGTCCTTTACGCTTACTATATATTTATTGTCAATATGTGGATGTTGTGGGGTCACATGACGAAGGACCCACTCATATAACCCCTCTCTATATATAGATCTTCTTCTATAAAGATCTAACAGATTGATCCTTAACGATCTCGTATATGATTGCCTACCTAAGCAAGAGACTCTCAACACTCTGATTCTGTTGATTTATCATGTGATCCTTTGCTATGTTTCTTGTGATATAAATACTGCTATGTTTCCTAGTTAAATTGAATTAAGTTTATCATCCTTTGTGATCTCTCTTCTAGATCGGTGGTACTCTTCCACAATCGTGGTACTTCTCCTCCTTTATAGAAGTGCGCACGACCGATAGACTTATAACCGTGTATTCAGACACTACGTTGAGTATTTACCCTTATGCACACTATCGTCTTATGTGTATAACCACGACTTTATAGTCACCGCCTAGAGTCCGATAGTTATGAGCCCGACGCCTCTGCTCTAACCATTTAACCAATTTAATTCAATCTTCTCTTACTTTACTCTCACTATCGCTTCACTTCCCACACAGAAGCGATGGATTCAACTACGCAATAAGCCACCTGGCTTCACTACCCACTAAAATCTCACGCACACTGGGTTCTATAGATCACTGCGGTTAAAGACCACGCACTAGCTAATAATGTGTGGAAATATGCCGATCCGGACCAATCCGCACCGATTACCCCGCCTCAGGAACTAGTTAAACCACAGATATCTGATGTGATCAGAAACCCTACTAATATATATATATCTAATCTTCCTGAATAGCCACTTAGGCTTATCGACCTTACGTCTGACTAATTAGCTATCTATAAGATACTACTAAGTGAATATAAATCGTTAAGATCAGACTACTTTCGCTACCTACGATCTATTGAATCTCTTAAGTAAGGTATTCGATCCTCTCTTATACCAGAAGGACGTTAAATCGTTAATAGCCTATTAGCACACGAAGCTATAGTGAAACTACGTGCTACCTTTGCCCTATCCGACTAATCGAAGAATCGTTAAATCCTACGCGATTGGGATGAGCTAAAACGACAAGCTCTACTAACTAAACTGTCTTAACTACCTATATGGGGTTAGAAGTGGATAATTAACTAATCAGAAGGCGAGAAAGCACGAATTGCCTACTTCTAAGACCCTCTCTCGCTAGTATACGATTTCCTAGAGACTATCCAACCTAGTGACCAGGGCTTCTACACCTTCTGGTATAATACAATCCTACAGGGTCTAAAGAGACCTACCCTGACCGAACTGGTTAATTAATTCGTCGATCAATACCGACCGCCTACTATAACTAGCAGTGGTAGAAGACGACCTATCGCATATACGACCTACTAAGGACGTCAACCTGACGAATCAGACGAAGAAGGACCTACACAATCAACCAGAAGAAGGAAGTGCCCTTGTGGGGGTATGCCTAACTCTGGTAACCACGATTTTGAGACGTGTCGCTATATGAATCCTAAGGCAAGACCTAGGGGGTGGTAACCTGACCTAGAGGTCTAAGAGCGATTTGAAAAGCGATGCGATGAATCTAGAGGATTTAAGATAGCCTACTAACGTGTAATTCGACGTTACTAACCGGCTAATTTAACCAATTCGACCAATTCGACCAATTCGACCAATTCGACTAATTCGACCAATTCGGCTAATTTAACTACTAGAGACGCTTTCTCTACCTATATACTAAAACAATAGGTCGAGACTCTCTTTCGAGAGGAAGATGGTGTTGCGATGAGCATAATCAGGATTCCTACCAAGAAGAACGACACCTGGTGCTATGATACCGGAGCATCAATTCATGTCACGAATAATAGGGACCTACTGTTAAACTATAGGCCCGTTGTGTCCTCTGTTATGGTTGGAAACACCGAAACCACTATCCTTGGTTATGGTGAACTGTCCGTTAAACTATTAGAATCTCTTGATGGAACCACTTTCCCTTTGAAACAAGTTGCCTATTGTCCTGGATTCCACATTAACCTAATCTCTGTAGAGAGAGCTACTAGCGCAGGTATCTATCTAAATAGCAAGGATTGCCTACTAGAAGAGAAGGACGGAAGACCTATCTATAAGCTTAACGCGAAATTAGGTATCTACCTAATTCGATGGGACGATTCAATCACTGACCGACCTACTGCTAACCACGCTTATGTTTTATCTACCTCTCACTTATCTCTTACTTCTGTCTTACACGATCAAGTTGTACCTATCACTGAGCAATTCAGCAAGGTTGCCCTATCTTCTTTACACACCAAGAAGTACCTAGATAGGATAATCGACCGATGGCATAGACGACTAGGACACGTTAGCAAGGACGTCCTATCTCATCTACCAGAGCACTTATCAGGCATCACTATCAAAGATATATCTTTGCCTATCAACCACTACGAGATATGTAAACTAGCTAATTCGCATCGTCAAATCTCTCGACGACCTATATAGTATAATCGCCCTTTCGAATCTCTGTATTGGGATCTTATACACTTCGAACTATTCTTAGGCAGAACGACCTACCTATCTCACTCTGTGGACCCTATCACTAAATACTAACTAGCAGAAGATCTATCTACTAAGACCGATTCGACCTAATCTCTCTGCGACTAGATCGATTTCGTACAACACCAATTTAACCTACGCGTCCTCACTATCTATTTAGATGACGAGAGATCTCTATCTGAATTCTTCGATTAAGAAGTATAATCACGTGGTATCTATCTAGAAACCACACCGCCCTACCAACCTGACCAAAACGGCTACGCTAAGCGTTATGGCGCATTCATTTTAAAGATGGCTAGGCAGATAATTATCGATTCAAACCTACTAAGCTATCTCTGGCATGAAGTAGCTAGAACTGCCGTCTATATTCAAAACCGCCTACCTCACCGCACACTAGATTGGCAATCCCCACACGAAGCGCTTGCTACCTACCTCGGTGAAAACGTACCATATTGGCTATAGGTAAAGCTAGATCTCTTATATATTCGAATCTTTAGATATAAAGCTTATGTACGCATTACTAAGCTACCTAGACTAGCTAAGCTAGCACCACGTGCTGCTATTAGCTATCTAGTGGGATATGAAACCTATAATATCTAGCGTATCTGGATACCTACCAAACGACGTGTAATTCGTACACGAGACGTCTAATTCAACGAGGAAGAATCCTACAATCCTTCGCTATCTAACCAACGCATCTAAATCTATGAGGAAACCAATCTATCTCAACAAATTAATACTCTTGACGACGAAGAGATCAATCAAATCCTTGAGGATATAGATATCCCATTCAACCAACCGGTGCAGCAAGATCTCGGGGGTGATAGTAGTACTACTTTCGATCATACCATACCTATACCAACAGACGAAATCCTCGGAGATCAACTAATCATACCGCCGCTTGAACCGAAATCGGACGAATCGATGAGATCTAGCGAATCAGAACTAGAAGATATAGTCCCTTTCGTCTTAATTGATAATACAAACTTCGACCCTTCTGGATATAAACCTCTTAATATACTAACTAAACGCCCACGATCAGATTCCAATTCAACCGACGACGAAAGTGAAAGAAAACGCCCTTACTTATCCCTTATAACCTATTTCCAAGCTTTCTCAACAGACCAATCTCATTAACTAAAGGTCTTGATATCAACGATTCCACCACCACTATCTGGTTACCACTAATTGACTAGCCATCCTTTTGAAAGCCAATTCCGACAAGCTATGCGAATCGAATTTAATAAGCTTCTGGATATGTACGCATTCGAACCTATCAACAAAGATCTCGTTAAATACACACACCAATCGAATTGCAAAGATCTTAACTAATCAGATTGCCTACGCCACTAGCTTATACTAATGAGATAGGTCTTTGCCTATAAATCTGACGAATCAGGATACCTTATACGCTTTAAAGCGCGTCTATGCGTACGCGGAGATACACAGAAACCTGACGACTAGGATCCACGCACTAGCACGCTTGCTGCTAGGACCTTTCGCACGCTTATAGCGATCATCACGTATTTTGACCTAGAGACCTTTTAGATAGATACTGTTAACGCTTTCCTAAATAGCGATCTTAAAGAA